AGACACCCCATTTTTTACTGTCCTCAAGACCTGGACGTCATCGTTTGAACACTCGATGATCATCCATGCTCGTGTTCGTTTTTGAGTTCTCAAAGGTCTTGGCAGCGCGCCTTGCCTCAAGATCTCTCAACTTGACTGTTTTGTGTTTGGTTGGGGACCAAGCACTTGTGTTTTTCTTTTGAGGGAAGAGGGTGGCTTGTTAGCCATCCCCTCAATCCATCAGCCAAGGCTTGAAGCCATCGGCCTTGTTTTCCTGCCACCGGCCAAAAGTGTTGGCCGATTGGGTGGTCGATGGTGGTGGTAGGTGGGTGGTGAGTGGTGATGGCAAGTAGGTGGCGGGTGGCGGCGGCGGGCGGTGGATGGTAGTGGCGGGTGGTGGGTGGTGGATGGCAGGTGGGTGGTGGTGGTGGTGGTGGTGGTAGTGGCAAGGGGTGGGTGGTGGTGGCAGGTGGGTGGTGAGTAGTGGTGGAAGGTGGTGGTGGAGGGTGGGTGGTGAGTGGTGGTGGCGGAAGACGGTGGTAGAAAATGGTGGCGGGTGGTGGCTAGTGTTTGGTGGTAAAAAAAAAAAACTCAAAACGTAAACTCATTTTTTGAGTTTACATTTTTTGGCCAAATTTATAAACTGAGACCATTGATTTATAAATCAAAAATTTATCAAACAAATTTTTATTTGAGTTTTTTAAATTTTTATAAATATAAACTGAAAACGTAAGTGTTACCAAACCGCATCGTAGTATAACTATTATCACTCTGTTAGTAATATGAATAATACTCCCACCTGGAATTATTTTTTTAATTTACAGATATATATTTGATACATTGGATGTCCAGGTCAAACAAAACAAAACAAGCAAGCTAATGCCAATTTTAGAAGCATTCCTACGTAGCCAGCAAGCAATCCTTTAAAATTATTTAATTATTGATCACACTCTAATAAAATATAATACAATAATCTTGTGATATAAAGAAACACATATAAAATATGTTGTGAAATTTAGTATATAATAAAAAAATGAGCCCCACAGAATTTACTCATCTTATTTTTTGTCATGAAATAAATGTGGATATAAAAAAATGAAAAAGAAAGATTGAGATGAGTCATGAATTTACAGCAAGGCAGTGAATACTTTAAATATTTCCATAAGAGAAAAGATAGGGATCATGAAAAAATTTTCATGAAACTGGTCATGAAAAATTTATGACCCTTGGATTACCTTGATTAGTGTGTGGTGTTTATTTTAAGTATAATCCAAGGGTCATAAATCTTTCATGATCATTTTCATGAAAGTTTTTTCATGATACCTAGCATTGCTCTTTCGATAATTTAAGTATAATGTTAAAATTACTAAGAATGTAAATAATTTGTTCACAATCAAACATTTATCTCTAACACAATTGGTTTCACTATTTATAATTATATGCTTATAATTTATATATTATTGTATTCGTTGTTATTATCAATGTTTTTAGTATAGTTCATGTACAATGAAAATTGTGATACTCTTTTTTATTTTTGATTCAACCTTAGAGAAGAAAAATAATGAATTGTATAATTGAAAGAGAACAAATGGATGACAAAAAATACAAAAAAAAAATGTGTTATCTAATGGAACAATATTTTAATATAATCTATTTTTAAAAAAATTAATAAACTAAAGATAAACTAAAAATATTTTTGCAATGTATTAATTTTTTTGCATAAAGCTAACAAACTAGAAAAAAAAAATCCAATTTACATACAATATTATGCATGCGAACATATATGATGCTTGACAATTAAGATATATTTCCTTTAATTAATTTATGTTCATGGTGCAACGTAGGAGTGCAGTCTACAGTTATTTGTGTATTATGTTTATTTTATATTTTTATATTATTTCTCCAAAAAAAAAAAAAGTTAACTATATATTTTTTCTTTATTTCTTATTTGTTTTTTAGATACTCTTAATTGTAATACCATGTTGTGGGGATATATTTTCTGAGTACCAACACGTGGCAAGGTGACGCCGACGTGTCAGCCGAGGTGCCACGTGTCCTGATCGTAACGCTGAGGTGATCTCGACAAAGCCGATGTTATCTCCGAAGATATCGGAATCCGAGATAAAACAAATAAAGGATAAGAGTCCTAAGACGAAGAGGGGACTTGACCAAGATAAGGATAAAGCTCTTAGAGAGTTTATCTTTATCTCTTAAAGAGTCCAAAGTAAGCACTAAATTGGAGTTCATAGAAGTCATACTTCTAGTAGGACTTGGATTGAGTATATTATAAAAGAGAGGCACCCCCGTGGGTCTAAGGTATGCAATTTATGTTTTGAGTATTAAGTTTTGCACTTGATTATCTTTGAGAGATATACTGACTTGATCGTCGGAGTGCCCCCGGGCGGAAGAACCACCGCCGGAGCCTTTTCTTTCTGTTACAGGTTACTGAAGCCATCTATTCTGCCTGTGCTCTCCAGTTGATCAACTAAGCAGGCAGTGTGGTCAGATTTTCACCCACACAATTGGCGCCGTCTGTAGGAACGAAGGAAGAATAGATGGCCAGTAACGGACAGCAGGAAAATATTGGGGATAACGCTCCCGCTGGGAGTGGCAGACCAATTGACCTTGACATTGAAGGAGACAACCACAATACAGAAGCCCGTGACCAGGGTCACAGAGAGAAAGACGTCATCCAGGAAGGCGACACGTCAAAAAGGACAGACCAAGGAAAGTACTACAATGAAGATAACCTCCAGGTATGGAGGGACAGATGCCTACGGAGGGATGAGGAAGTAAAGAATTGGCAAACAAGTTGGCAGACCTTCAGTCAGTCGTCAACTTCATGATGCAGAATAATGTTATGCAGCCACCATACCCGCTGCAAGATACGCCGATGCAGCCAACCAACGCCCAGAAGGGCGGAAGAAAAACAATCCCCGAGGTCCCTCAGCATACCAGGAGCGGAAGGCATTCTCACTGGCCTTCCAGGGAAGTCGGACAAGAAGAGCCGAGGCAAGAAGAGTCCCGAAGGACACACCACATGAAGAATCCAGACCCCAAAGAACATCGACATGTTCAGGGGCAAGTACTCTACTTTGACACAACCCATGAAGAAAGATCCAAACGGACCCACCATGAGGCCGAAAGCAGTGTACCAAAAAGACTAAAATCCATAGACAGCCGAGCTCTAGGGAGGAGTAAAGAAGACCTGAGGGACTACCTAAAAAGGAGGCAGCAGAATGTTGAAGCCGAGG